TTTACTGTTAGGTTGCATGAGAATGGTAAAAAAAAATTCTGAATAACATTTTAGTACAGTGATATTTATAGCATTATCACTTAAAAATTGAATGACCATGAGGTTATTTATGTCACCTAAATATATATTAATTTAGATTTTATTCATGAGGTGGCAGCTATATAAAATAATATGTATATATCAATGTGTCACTTTCTGTGAAAGGCTTATATTGTAACTGTGTGTGCGTGTGTTTATAATGAGAGAGAGGGAGGGAGGGAGGGAGGGAATATCATGGCTTGTATGAATCTGATCTTTGGAGGGTTAGGAACATCATGGCATTTTTTTCAGAGTCTTCATGGCTGCTCTACTAAATGCTAGTCTGAAATCCTGTACGTATAAATTATATACTACAAGATTGGAAGTTGGGATTGCTACCTCTCTTCCTTCCATATGTCTTCTAAACAGTCTTCTCTAAATGGGATATTTTTGCTGATTTTAGTAATTTCAATGAGGCCGGTACCTTTCTGAAGTGTAACGGACATTCTGTACGGAACTCCTGAGTAAGCTTCTTGGAGTTCAGAGAGGCTTACTAATTGTTAAGTGTTCTATATTTTCTTTAACTGCATTATACCGAAGTCTTATACTACTCTAGACTCTACATTTATAAAGAAGATAGTTTCAGGATTATGCCCCTAAATAAAACCAGGTTGCTAGCCATAAGAAAATGTAGAACTGGTTAAAGCTACATAACAATTAAAACAAAGCAAACATAAAGAAAGAAATACAACATAAAAACCAAGAGTGCAGGAGAGGGTTTAAATAAAAGCAAACCCAACCCAACCAAAGCTTTTAGCACATTCTACATTTATCTTATTTTCTCTATTCCCTTCTTTTTCTTACCTCATGGGATTTTCTTCAGCAACACAAATCACTCAGATTTTCCTCTTCTTGGTGTTCAGTTACAATAGCTGTGACATTATCACATTGTCACATTGTCATATAAAAATCTTCTTTTTGATCCATACTTATGCTTTCATGACAAGTTGCATTTCTTTATGTACTTAAGTATGAAAAAATTTTCTGAATATTGCCTTATCTTACTTCAAAAGTAGCAAAATATAGATGTATTTTTCCCTTGTTTCTTATATAGTGCTTACTGTAATATTGTTTAATACAATATTTCTATAAGAAGGAGGACTATATAAATTCTGTGTTTTATTTCCCCATATACATAGCATCATGAAAGCAGTAGCTAAATTTTCAAGTGAAAAATGCTTTAAAACTGTCATTAAATCATGTAGTTATGCTCAGGAAATCTTCCAATTAATCATCAATATATGTAGCATGTCTGTAAAACAGACTGTCCTTGAAAGAAGAAATGTGAGTTTCTGAGACTGACTTTAGGGCAGCATCTTCCATTAAGATTGCATAATTAATTTGTTTTGGGAATTCTAGGGAGAGGCACAGTCCAAATACTGCCAATTTATAAGAAAGGGAATGGGAATGCCTGACTTACTTACAGCTCTTTTATTGATCCATTAAGACCAATTAAAATGTTGCAAAGCATCGGCTTTCAAATCAAAAACTCTTGGTTCCCTGAAACAAGACTTTTCATCAAAACTGGGCTTTTCATCAAAACTCATTAAAACTGCACTCTGGAAAGAGTGCAGAGAAGAGCAACAAAGATGATTAGCGATCTGGAGGCTAAAACATGAAGAATAGTTGCAGGAATTGGGGATATCTACCTTAGTGAAACGAAGGACTTTTCTTTAGGGGAGATATGATGGCAGTATTCCAGTATTTGAGGAGCTGCCACAAAGATGAGGGGGACAAATTATTTTCCAAAGTACCAGAAGGCAAGACAAGAAGCAATGGATGGAAACTAATCAAGGAAAGAAGCAACCTAGGAGGAATTTCCTAATAGTGAGAACAATGAACCAGTGGAATGGCTTGCCTTGTGGGTGTCCCATCATTGGAGGCTTTCAAGAAGAGACTGGACAGCCATTTGTCTGAAATAGTATTGACTCTCCTGCTCGAGCTTTGGGTTGAACCAGAAGACCTCCAAGGTCCCTTCCAACTCTGTTATTCTACTCTCTATTATAGAAAGAATGGACAAGCTTGGATGGAAAATAGCTTGCTGCCAGTTTTTGTTTTTGTTTTGCTTTGCTTATAGAAATGTTTATATTGGTCATAAAGTGAAACCAACATCCTGGTGGTTATATTGGATGTATCTGAAGATGCAGTTACAGTTGATGCCATACAGTAGTAGAATAACAAGCAAAGAAGAGGCTCAGCCAAAATCTAAAAAAAAAATAACATGCACTCAAAAATATCTCCAAATCTTTTGCTGACATTTCATAGTAGACTGTTCAAAGGTGTTTTTTTTTAAAAAAAGGTAATAGACTTTGATTGATGTTTATGAAGACAAAGTGTTTAAAAAGTTATCTTCAAAATCCTCTTGTTCTCTATCCACAATGCATTTGGAATAAAGAAGTAAATACCAGTACTATCTTAATTTTAAGTGCCAGTAAGGATATTGATTGAAATGATATTTATCTCCAAAGTTGTAATGTAAATATTCTGAAAAAAGGCTTTAGTACCTTTAAAAAAATATTTGAAAATCATCATCATCATCATCATCATCATCATCATCATCATCATCATCAGTGGGTGCAGCAACATTTCACAAACTGACTACCTACAATGCCATGACCGTGTTGCTAAGATCATTCACTGGAAATTGTGCCAGAAGTTTGGATTTGAGTACAGCAAAAACCAATGGGAACATCAGGTTGAGAAAGTTTTAGAGAATGAGAAACTCAAGATCTTGTGGGACTTCAGGATTCAGACTGACAGGCACTTGGTCCACAATACACCTGACATTACAATAGTTGAAAAGAAAAAAGCATGGTTCATTGATATTACAATACCTGGTGATGCACGGATTGAAGATAAGCAGCAAGAAAAAATCATAAAGTACCGGGACTTGCAAATTGAAGTTGAGTGACTGTGGAAAAAGAAATTGTGTATTGTCCCGATTGTAATTGGAGCTCTTAGAGTAATACCCAAAGGGCTTTTTAGAAATTCTAAATTTACCGGACTTGAACATTTTGATTCTACAAAAAACCACCTTACTCGGAACAGCTTACATCCTCCGACGATATCTTAACAGTTCCTAGGTCCTTGGTTAAGACTTGAGCTGCTGAGCTATTAACCAGCCTCAAAGGCTGTGAATCTCACTAAAGATTAACCAATAATAATAATAATAAAGTTTGTGCAGAATAATATAATGGATAGTACTCCTCTTCACCCCAGTTTTATTCTTGAATTTTTTTTCATTAGGAAGAATAGGGACTTAAATAAAAATATGGATGTATGAATAAATCTGTTTTGACCTGTTCTATTGAATTATACAATTGCGTTGAATAGATGTATTATATCATACTATCACTCTAAGCCAGGATAGGGTGATGTCCCACCCCACAATTTTTAACAAGTGTTTTTAAGATCAACTTTGAAATGAGATCATTCTATAGTGATTTACAATGATGTAGTTAGATTTTGGCTATTATGCAAGATCATTCTGAACCATCATACTGTAAGAATAGATATTTGATCGAGTCTATGTTGTCTGAATGATATCTGTCCTAAAATGCAGACATGCCATCTGAAGCAGAATTAATAGAGCACTTCCAATTAACTTAAAAGGTGGAGATGTTAGGGAGAATGAAACTATGCCCTTCCCAACAAATATGAAAATCCATTCAAGTTTCAAGACTGCCAAAAAATCCCACTATATGATATGGCAGCTGACACTACAACTCAGAGCTTCTGCTGAAAATTTTACTTTAAATAATCAGATGTACTATACCAATATATTATAACATCCTAGGTTCTTGGGGAAAGCTTGATGCAATCAAGGCCAACCCATCTAAAGAACTGGCAGCTACACCAAACAGATAAAGAATAAAAAAGGCACCGGAAGAATATTTGAAGGACAGTGAAGAAGATGCACTAAAGCTCTATATGACAAAAACAAACTTCTGTACAAGAGAAACCAAATTAAGAATAATAACAATAGTAAAAATAGCAAAGCAATATATTACATGGCCAGTACATTAAAAATATTTTAAAAAGCTAGCAAACAAAGCAGATGACCAGTCCTAGCAATGGTTAAGAGCAGGAAAGTTGAAGAAAGAGACAACGATTCTGGCTGCATGAGACCAATCTTAAGAACAAATGCATAGAAAGGCAGAACTGAGCAGACAGCAACAGACACCTCTGCAAAGAAGCTGAAGAAACAATGGCATGCCAAATTAGCAACAATGGATACCATTTGCCTGCAAGCAAAAATTGCTGGGACTACAAAATAGACAAAATAAAAGGCAACGTAGATGTTAAAATGCTCTGAGACTTCAGAAGACAAACAGATAAGCACCTGCCATCTAACACTCCATACTTGACAATTGTCAGTAAGGAAGACAAAAAAGTCTGGATGGTAGATGTGGCAATACCCAGAGAAATCACAAAATATAAAGACCTGCAATTAGAGGTCAAACCACTGTGACAAAAGAAAGCAAAGGTAGCATAAAGAGTAATAGGAGCTTTGGGTACAATTCCAAATCAACTGGAGCATCATTTGAACACCACTGGCATTGACAAATTCACCATCAGTCAATTGCAAAAGCAGCTTTACTTGGAATTGCTTACATCCTGTGATGATACCTTTAATGCTATATGAAACAATATTTGCCTATTCCACATCCTTGGAAAGGACTATGACAAGTGGATAAAAATGCTATCTGGTTGACTGTTGGACTTTCTTATACGTAGGCACTGTGCAAAAGGTACAATCATGAGCAAAGGTTTCAATAGATCAAGTGATTACACTGAAAATCAAACCTATTCTAAGTTTACAAAATCAACTCCTCTTAGTTTGTAAGAGGGTTATTTTTGCCCAGTTAGCATGTTTCTAGTGTTTTAATTTCTGGCGCCTTTTTTTTTTTTTTTATCATAGTGGCAAGCAGGCAAGCAAGTTTCCTCTTAAATCTTAAAATACTGATTGCAGAGGGCAATGCAACTATGTAAGGTGATGGGTATGTACCCAGTTGACATTAAATCACAGTAAAAGGGACCAGCGTAATCAAAAAAATCTCCCACACAGCTAATTTACAGGCTGCATACACTGATGTCCCTTATTCCAGGATTGAACATAAAATGAAACTCTTTAACTGAGGTTCCTTTCTAGTAATGGGTAGTCCTTGTCAAAGCCCTCCTGCGTATGCCCTCCTCCTTCATTCACTTGCAAATCACTGGGTGTTTGGTACAGCCAACACCCCCCCCTTCCTTCCCTCCCAACGTTCACATTCCTTTACACCTTCCGCCCCTGTTCCCCAAAGCCACAGATCCAGCCCTGGCTACTGCTTCATCAGTAGCATGAGCTCTTAGCCTAGGAAGGATGGTGCTTTTTTAAGCAGAGGTTCTGAACCCAAATCAATCAGACCGAGGGGGGTGGTGGTGGTGTCTACGGCTTCAGTTTGCTACTTGCTGAAGTTAAAAGTGATGCAGAAGGAGAGAGGCAGGGACAAGGAAAGGGAGAGGGAGAGAGAGAGCTAGAGCGGGGGAGGAAGGTCTGTGTAGACACAGCGTTGGAGCGAAGATCCACAGGCAGATGAGGAACTAAAGCAACCTTGAACAGCGTCAGCTGGAAGTAAAGCTTCAGCCGCTTTCACCAGCAAGAAGGAGGTGAGTAATCTCTCTCGTTTCGCCTTAGATTCTCGAACAACAGGCTTCATTTGAATGTTAGACACTGTATTTTTTGGCTATTCTCCCTCGCTCGCTCCCTCCCCCCCCCTCTCTCATTTTTGCGGCGGGATGGAGAGGCTTGCATGAAGATAGAAATAAAGGCGTGCGCCGAGAAATGGGTAGTCAGCGACAAGAGCTACTACACATTTTTGAAACTTGAACTCTGATTTAAAGTGCTTCCTTGCGCACTTGCATGCAAATGCACACAGGAAGGACATGCATGGAATCCATTGGACAGTTTGCCAACAGGAATGGAGCTGGATTCTACTTATCTGTTGGCAGAGCTGGTTCAGCCGAGCGGGGTTTTAAACTTCTGCTTAATTCATAGGCTTCATTTCTTGCATGCAATATTTCTATAGCAATATTACTTGATCTGCCTAGGGAGCAAGCTATAAATGACTAAGCCTTAATAAATTATTAATAAATAATAAGTCTACATTATTTTAATTAACCAAAGGGGGAAAGATGTATCTAGTATTTTCTGTAAAATAAAAATAAATAAATAAATCATTAATCTGTAAGGACTATGTTTACTTTCAAGGGGCAAAAATATTGGTTGACACTGATTCTGATTTTACAAAGCATTTATTAGTTTGACTTGCATTACTGACGGAGTTCAAGCTTCCAAATAGCACAGAACTCTGCTTTCGGCATTATTTTTGTTCACAGTCAGGGATGTATGTGTTGAATGCACAGTTGGCAAATTTGAGAGTGGAATAGCTAGGCAAACTTCTTTGCCAACTCATAACCTCATTCTGGACTGGCAGTTCTGATCAACAATGCCACTGAAAGGAAATAGGAATTCAGGAAGAATATCCTAATCAAGATATTTCTTTTCACGGATCTGACTCATCTGAAAGGGTAATTCACTGACAGTTCTCTCACCAGCAATTTCTATTTGTTTGGTATTGTTTTCCACCTACATTTTCAGTTATGCATGCCAAGAATTCCATAATGGCTTCACAGAACATCCAGATCCTCGACTCTGAAATAATGAATGTGAACTGTAAAGGAAATCAATATTCCGCTGCAATTGTATGGGCTGTCTGTGTACTAAACCCATTCATCCTATGCCAGGTAGACTTAAATAATGGCTCCAAATAGAAATGGACAAGATCCTGGTAGGACGTAATTTACATTTGTGTTTACCATGTTAGAACTATAAGGGGATCATCTGGGAAATGATAAAGTTGAAAGAGAATAGAACCAGTTTAATTTATGCTGATTTTTTTTTCTCAAGCACAACTTGTGATTCTATTGATGTTTGAGAGTTATAGCACTTTCAGAAGATAGAATAGAATAGAATAGAATAGAATAGAATAGAATAGAATAGAATTTTTTATTGGGCAAGTGTGATTGGACATACAAGGAATTTGTCTTGGTGCATACGCTCTCAGTGTACATAAAAGAAAAGATACATTCATCAAGAATCATAAGGATTCTTAATAATTAATAATTAAGATAATTAAGAAGATACTTTTGCTTTTGATCTTGGTAGTATTGTTCAATCTGTAAGTTTTAACTTCCTAGCCCAAAGGAAGCTTTCAATCTTATATTAAGAATCAACAGTGTAAGTCAGATATGCCTTTGATTTTGTTTTATATGCATACTGTAGTACTTTCAGTTAAATGCACATTCTCATCCGCAGATAGACAGTGATGTGCTTTTGAGTGAATACACTGAATTTGAGAAGGTTGATTTCCTCACTATGATGAGCATTTGATTTATTGGGGGGGAGGGGGGTTGTTTCATAATACCTGAGCAGCAGTTGGCTTTTTATGCACATCATTTTCTGAAGATCATAGTGATCTCCTACTGAGTTCCATTAGGATAGGGTACATTTCCTCCTAAAAAATTTCCTGACATTCTGAAGCAATACCCAAGCTAGTGAAACACCAATTCCTAAAAATGGACATATTGACAGTAAACAAATGTGATTTGAGAATGGAACTAGCTAAAGCTATTGGCAAGCAATATGGTCAGTATTTATTAGAAATAATGCAAACTTTTATATTCACAAGCATGTAGGTAGCATGGACTATGGTAGGTGGTCCTACAAACAACATTAAATCCATTGAAGTAGAATAACTTTCAAACAAAGCAGACCGTGTTAGTATTTAAAACAGTGCATTATGTTAAAAAAAAGTCTTAATTTGGGATGTTTGCTGGTTCTTTTATTATGGAATAAAAAAAATCTGGACTTGCAGAGACAAAACAACTTCAGAAGAGCCAATCGAGACCTTTGTTCTTTGGATTAGAGCTGCAGCATTCCATAGAGTGGCAAAATAAAACCAAGATGAAATCTGAGCGTTCCCTCCTCCCTTTTCTGTATTTAATCTATTATTTTTGAGGCAGAACATTTGTTTATTCCTTAAATAGTTTTTATTATAGATAAGTAATAAAATATTTTACAGGCTTGCAGGTGCCTTGTCAATCTAACTTAAATTTTGAAAAGGTTGTTAACCTGTTTAATTGATTATTCTGGGAATCAAGGAGACAGAAATTCTGCAGTAAATTAGATCAGCTTGAGAGAGAAAGGAAGGAGGAAGGGATGCTAACAAAACCTGGCATAGAGTTGATGAGTACCAATCACTCAATCACCTAGAATGATAGACCTGGCAGGTACTAAGTGAAATCATGTGCTGCCATCTCCTGTGAGCCAGGTTCTTTGATATCTAAAGTATCCTTGGCAGATGCCTGTCTGAAATCTCCAAATGGATTTCACGATATCCCTGTTTAGCATATTCTGTTTGAAAGCATTTTACCCGTATTTGTAGGATCACTGAGAGTACTGTGTCTACAGGATGCCACACTGTGATGACTTGTGTCAAAACAAGGATGCATTCTTTGAAGGAGACTGTATAGTAATGTGTGGGCAGGCTACCCAGTTGCATGTAACTAATTTGAAACTACAGATCCAAAAAACATATTCCAGAGTTGATGCTGGACATCAGCAAATAAAATTGACCACTGTTAACCAACATCATCTCTTTTGATTATTGAGGTTTACTGGTTGAGAGCCTATGGAAAGCTTAGGTGCTTTTTTTTTGTAGCAATTAATTATTAGCAGTTCATTGCTAATAATTGTGAAGTGAGTAATTATCATAAAATTTGCTATGACTCCTTTCTATAGATCTTGTTATGGAGAAAAGGATAGCTTATAGCATACGTTTGCACTTATAGTAAACTTATAGTAAGAATTGTTTGATTTCTTTTTAATGAAAGGAAATTAGCATTATTTCACAGGATGAATCTTTTCATGTATATTCTTGAAGCATCTCTATTGAATTTTTCTACCTCTGAATTCAAGTTTGGAAAGTCCATAACTACAAACTAGTAAATCACATTTTAGGTTAATGTTGTACCCAGTTTGATAGTTGTGACTCAGAAGATCATAATCCCATAAAATTGGATTAAATAAGCAAACGATGGTTCGGTTACCCATGCATAAGAATGTCAGGAAAAAAATGCTACAGATTTACACTGGGGTTTTCTAGCTCATAGTTCAAACTGACAGACAGACAGAAACTTTATTTTTATCCTTGACCATTTAATAGTTACACCTGATATGTGTAACACTTTTAATTCTGTATTAACTTAGTTTTTTTTTAATAACACTATCAGCTTTTTGAGACTGAATACTTTACCATAAAATGAATGTACAAATTTTCAGCTTCCTGAGGCTATTGGGTATGAACGCGGTAAATAGTGTAACACAAAGTTTCCTATGAATATTATGCATAATATAAAATCATTCTTACTATCTGAAATAGTGACTTCTGAGGAAGTATGCACAAAATCACAGATATACTTTCTTATAAGATATTCCACTGGCAAATTTAGCGTTACCAAATTTCAACTACTGAAATCCAGTCAACAAAAAATGGCTGCAAAAATGACACATATGACTTTAACCTTCTTGCTGCTCTCTAGTGGTTGTCTGGGCATTTGCAGCCCAGATCTTACCAAATGTCACAACTTGATGATTTAGAGGTCTGCTTTTAGATTTAAAAAAAAAAATGACATCAGAAGCCCCTGGCTTTAAAATTATTCTAGTTTCCTTCTCTTTTTGTCCCCACAATAATGTAAAATGTGTAAAATCTGATCAGAAATATAAACTTGCTTAGGTAAAGACATTGGCAATAGCCAAGTTGATTAGAAGCATCCCAGAGTGTGACATTAGGAAATTGGAGATAACAGAAAACCAAATTCCATTAAGCATAAGGGCATGAAATAAGAAGAACCTGACATTTATGAAACGTGCATGGAAGAAGAAGGAGTGCAGCTGACATTATTTTTCAATCAGTCAATAGGTGTTCGGGTTTCTTCTTCTTCTTCTTCTTCTTCTTCTTCTTCTTCTTCTTCTTCTTCTTCTTCTTCTTCTTCTTCTTCTTCTTCTTCTCCTCCTCCTCCTCCTCCTCCTCCTCCTCCCCCTCCCTCTCCCTCTCTCCCTCTCTCTCTCTCTCTCTCTCTCTCTCTCTCTCTCTCTCTCTCTCTCTCTCTCTCTCTCTCTCTTTCTCTCTCTGAAGTTGTATGGCTTAGAGCAGCTGTCCTCAGTAAATGCTGTCTAGAGATGCACAAATACTTGGATATGAATAATAATATCTGAGTGGGGACTGAGAACATTTTGCATTCCCTGAAAAGGGTTTATGGAGAAGTTAGCATTAAAAAAACTGAAGCCCATATTGCTACTAAAGGGCAACATAAAAGCAAGCCAAGGGAAATGAATCACAAATCTGGACCATCAAAATTCTTGGCATCATCAGTATTTTATTAAAAAAAATAAAAAATAAAGGGTTTTTTTTCCCCCTAAGCTATTTTTTCCTTCCAGCTATTTCCCAATAAAATTGGGTCATTTTTTTGGTTAGTGATTTTGTACAAATTTAAAGAAGTTTAATGCTCCTTCCTCAGCAAATTCTGAGAAATGTGTATTGGTTTGG